AGTACCATCTCTCTTGAATGTAGGTGAATGTACTAGTAGAAGCTCCAACTTCTCTATTCTTCAGGTTACGGAACAGACATTGAAGGATACTGTAAACGAATTAAAATTGAACCCGAGATCAAACTCAAAAATTTATCGGAGTTTCTGGAGAGAAAGGATACGACGATTCCAGTTCTTAAGCTAGGTCTACAAATCTAGATTTCGTAATATTGCTAATAATGTTTGAACGGCGCTCCGTTGATAATAGCCATTGACAATTGCTCAGTTTATTTTAATATTTTTATTAAATAGTTTATACTCTTGTAAAATTCTATGGATATTCCTGTCATCATTCACGACAGAAGAACTCGATCTAAAATCCAAATTCAAATCAGGATAGACGAATCAGATACAGTATTCCAGAGTTTGAGAAAAAAAAAATAATTTGAACATGATAGATTAGAGTTGTGGAAGACAAAATAGCGAAAGCTGCGAAATTGAATGCTGGTCAGCTCAGTGTGTTACTCTGTGGTAAAGTATTAGAACAGGATACGTCGATTAAGGACTTATTGCTGGGGCCTACGACGCAAGTTATTCAGAGAAGTCACCTTCTCGATTGTAACATTTCAGTGCGTTGGTTGCGTTAGCAGTTGAGACGATTCAAGACAAGACTGTGAAGGATGAATCGTTGACGCCTAGAACACCCAATGTTGGATCCTTTTATGTATATTGCAAAACCTGTGAAGATATTGAACGAGGCAAGCTCAGAGTATATTGCTCTCTCTGTAGCTCCACAGCCGTAGTAGTTCTCAGAGATCCTGCTGGTTGGGATGACGTTTTGAAAAGGTGTCAATTTTCAAAATAATTCACAGAATTCTTCTTTTTTAAGTAAAGTTATTGAGCTGAAGTGTGAGGACTGTGAACAGCAGAGCTTCGCGACATTCAAATTCAAATGTATCAAATGTAGCGAGGTAGAATTTGCATATGAACATCTTGCGAGTTCATAAATGTTGAGGTTTGTGCTCCGCTTAGCCAAGTCCGTGGTAATTGGGAAAATAGTGAATGTTGTGTTTGTCTGGACGATACACAGCTTTTTGTGTTCGACTTCGGATGTAACCATTCCATATGCAGACAGTGCTTTGTGGAGTATTGCTCGACGTCTCTGGCGGATGGGAAATTCAGATTTCGATCTCCTTATGGATACACCTTAGGCTGTCCGTCATTGAACTGTGATTGTAAGCTCTTCCTCATAATCCATCCCGAAAACATACTATCAGATTGCCTGAGAGATGTTCATCATCTAAGAGCTTTAGGAGCCGAGAAATACAAGCAGTATCAGATTGTTGCTACTGAAAAGCTTATAGCTTTAGATGAACAAGGTTTTACTAACCGATGAGCCTATCAATACGGATTTCTAGGTTTCTTCTGTCCGTTTCCCACTTGTGGAATGTCTTTCATATGGGAGAGTGATAATGATGCATTCATTTCCTGTCCTGAGTGCTTGCGTCGATTCTGCAGGTGCTCGTCCCATTTGGAAACTTAAATGACAATTTGAACGCTTTCCAGGCAATGTAAATCAGTTACATGCGAATGTCTTAATGAAGATGAAACTAAGCGAACGATTGTCGCAACCACAAAGTATGTCTAGAAAATATCCGCCGATTTGTAACTGTTCTTTCAGAAAGTGTCCAGGATGTCACACAGATACCGAAAGGAATGGAGGTTGTGCGCACATGCAGTGTACGTCTTGTGGGTTGAATTGGTGTTTCCGATGTGTAAAACCATGGAGTGACGAATGTCAATGGGATCACTGGTTCGACTGAAAAGCATAATCAACAAAGAAACTAATAGCAATGATACTTATTCTTCTAGATTATAAATTCTTCGAATTGATTGCATTTCTGTTTCGGGCAATACTATGTTATCGATAAGTGTATACTGAGCTGCATGCTTGGAATGATGGAAACATTCACAACTTGAACTCGCTGCAGATCTACGTATCTATCATTTTCTGAAAAGTTTAGTGAATAACTTCACGTGTTACGTGGAAATGAATAAACGTGAAAATCATTTTTCGTTGCAAAAGACTGTAATCGGTTGCTATTGAATGAAGAATAGATCACTCAAGCTTCAAATTGAATAAGAACTTAGATATCGAGCATTTTTATGTTTTGGATATGAAAGCTAGAGAACTCCGAAGGTTAGATCGATTGAAAGTAGAATAGAAATATTTAATAACGGAATGATTAGGCGAAAAGTGAAAACTACCATACATATTACAATATCAACGGAGCAGCCAGTAAGATTGGGGCGATGGTGATTTGTGAAAATTTAAAAGAAATTGAAATTGCTATTGCTACGATCTTGGTGTGATTGCTCTGAGGAAGTGCCGTCCATAAGTTCATCCGTTGAAAGCATTGTTGACGAGATCGGCACTTTCTTATCAAAAGATATTTGTGATTTGAATTCGGGACTTTTATCAGAGATTGGTTGAGAAATCTGAAAGTGAAACGAATTGCTTGAGTTGCTTTGAAGCTGTTACGTTGTCATTACTCGAACAATAAACTATCCCAGCTGGACTATCCCTTCTGTTGGTAAGAGAGTTGACTTGATACTCCGTTTCATTAGCATTCGAGCAAGAAGTAAGAGATTGAGAAGTCACGCTATCGATTGAGCTGTAAGATGTTCTTTGTTGTGATAGGAAACGTCATATCTACCTGTTATCCTTGTCCATGTAATCCTCCTCGTGTCTGCTGTAGTTACCATTCTTCGTGTTGACTTCATAGTTCTCATTGCTATCGGGATGAAAAACTATGGTGTTGGTACGGACACTTTCATTATCTGATCTGTAAGAAAATCATTATGAATATGAGTTTTCATGGGCAACATCATCTTACTTAGGGTTACTGGCATTGGTATGAATGAAACGATTCATACGAGTTCTCCTAAGATGGCAACCTAGTAGAACCAAAACTCCAACAGTAATTGATAGACAGAAGATTGTGATAATGTACATCCATCTGAAAAGAAACAGTTAGCCCGAGCAGAACCTTCACTCGTTACATTGGGATAACGAATTTGACCATTTCGGGACTCTCCAGTGTTCCCTCTACATCAGGTACAACCTCTTGCTGAACGCCATCAGTGGATGTGATGCTGTCCTAAGATTAAGAGAAGATAAGTAATGAACTAGTTGATGATAACTCAACCTTATAAGGATCGAGTACACAATCCCCGAGTTCCTCAACACACTTGTTCAATCCTTCCATATATC